GAGAGAGAGAGAGAGAAACATCAGTGATGAGAGAGTCATTGACCGGCTGCCTAGCACGCAACTCGGGCATGTGCCCTGACCGGGAAACGAACCCAGATCTTCTGGATCCTAGGTCGATGCTTAACCTCTGAGCCATGCCCGGCCGGGCAGCCTGTCTTTAGATGGTAGTCTGTGCGAGATGATACAAATACTTTTAAATTTTTTCATTTCCATTCTACTGGGTAGTGGGTAAGTAACAGAGAGTTTAAGCTGTACTAACATGGGATCTATCACCCTGACCTTGGAAGCCCATGTGGCAAAAGGAATAGGAGAAGAAAGCATGGAATGGATGTCCTAGAACTCCCTCCATGGCAGGACGTTCTCCTGACATGATTACCGTGTTTACTGCAGGGAACTAAGTGTTAAATTCAGTATCATGTAGCAGTGAGAAGCAGTAACAGTTTTAGACTGACCAACCTCAGATAGCCTGTTAACATCAGAGGAGAACTGCTTTCCTTAGAATCAGATTCTAGGACAATTAATAGAAGTACCCTTAAAAGATATGTTGGGGATATATCTTGGTTATTAGGCAAATGGTTGTTTTAGCAATTACTTAGAAAGAATAATAGATTTATACTCTGGACTTAAGTAGAAATCCATATTGAATGCATAAATAAAGGCAGAATCTATGCTGAAATAGTAAAAAAGCCCCACTGGGGCATTTGTATACTACCTAAACCTAAAAATTAAAATGAATGAGAGAAATGAATAAAAGAGAATGAAAAAAACAGATTTGAAGGAAATATTAGAGCTACAGTAACAATGAGAGACATCGGTTGTGTATGTTTCTCGAATTTTTTAAAAAACATGATGTTACACATACACCGATGTGTCTTGAAACATCAGAACAATTGCAAGGAGCTCATATTCTTGAAATGAGTATATGTATGGATCTGTGTCCACAGGAAAGGAGAAGTCAAATATATAATTCACTCTCTAGTTAGATTAAATTTATTGTTGTGGGAAAATGTAGAACAAAAGCTGGGAAGTTAATCTGTTAAGAAGCTCCAAAATATCCTGTCTCACCTAGTTGGAATTGTTGCAAGGATGGTGCTTTGTGAAATCTCAAAATACTCTTTTCTTTACAGAAATCATCTTATTGCTTAATTTATATAGCTAAACCATAATATAAAAGCTAAAACTAATTTATAACACTAAGCCAAGTTCATTATAAAAACTAAGAAAATTCAGAAATTTACACTGAAGCAAAAAGCACCTATAAAGTTTTCCTTTCTTTCTTTCTTTTGGTGGGGGTTTATCCATATATGTATTTTACTGAATTTCTATGTACATANATTTCTTTTTCCATGTTGATTAAAGTCTTGCTTTTTTTATCATTAAAAATTTGGTGAACCTTCTCCCTTGTTAAGAGGGGACATTATAGTTTGGGGGTAGGGAGTAGGTGTCAGGGAGAGAGGGGTCCAGAGTGCTGAGTGTGAATTTCTGCTCCCCCTTATTATCTTTGTATCTTTGGACGCTAAATTGAACTTAAGTAGACTTTTCAATGGTAGTAATAGGATAAAAGAAAAAAAATCTTCACAAGTGCTGAGGTAGTATAACTGCACACCAATTTATGCACAGGTAATTGTCATTAAAAAGTAAGGACATATTAAAAACAAAAACTAAAAGAGTTTATTGCTAAAGACCTTCAGTAAAAAAAAAATCAGCAAGAAGAAAAGTGATGCCTAGGGAATGTATATAATATGGGGAGTAACGATGGAGAAATTGGTTCAGTGAAGAAGCCAGCAAGTTTAATTGAAAAAGAATAAATATATTTGTTTTGTAAAATATTAAAATTAAATTCTTGACAAAATAACAGGGTGGAAATGGGATTTTCTCTGGGTAGTTAAAGAGGGCTATAGAAGCTGAGTATTAAAAGCTTCATGTTCATTTATTTTAAATTATCATTTCCTATATTTTTATTTTTTATTAAGGTATAATATGCATACAATAAAACTCAACATTTTTAGATTACAGTTCTTTAAGTTTTAACAAATGCATCTAGTCATGTAACCACCACCAAAATCAAGATATAGAAGTTTCATCAAACCCCCAAATTCTCTGGTGGCCTTTTGTAACTGGATCCTGTCATAACCCAAGCCCCTGCCAAAGGTCCGATCTGTTTACTGTCACTGCCCTGAGTTTCTATCCCTCCTTAAGGGAGGCACTGATGGCCCATTTCTAAATTGTTGACAACAAACCAGGAAGCAAGGGCCCCTTTCATGATCTGCCCTCTGACCCAGATCTTAAGGTAGATATTTTTGCATCTGTGGAACACTCTTTGCACCTCCCTCCCTTCCCGTGGCCTCCTCTGTGGTCCTCTTAGCCTGAACGATTTCCAACTCAATATGACTGCACTCTGTGGAATCTGTAATGACAAGACCTTCCTTTCATTGACCTCTGACAATCCAGTGTGGCCTGTGCATGAATATGGGAGTCCTGATATCCCAAAACACTGCATTGTTAATTATTTCTTANTCATTGACCTCTGACAATCCAGTGTGGCCTGTGCATGAATATGGGAGTCCCGATATCCCAAAACACTACATTATTAATTATTTCTTATTTTTAATATTTATAAAAATGAAGTAGTGTGAATAAAGTTCTTTATGACTTGATATTATCAGTAAATATGTTTTTCAAGATTCATCACCTTGTGGCATCTAGTAGTTTATTCATATTTATTGCTGTGTAATGTTCCACTGCATCTACATATCACTAATGATTTATGTATTATATTACTCTGCTTGGGCCACCATAACAAAAACCACAGACCAGAGTGCTTNATGTTCCACTGCATCTACATATCATTAATGATTTATGTATTATATTAGTCTATTTGGGCTGCCATAACAAAAACCACAGACCAGAGTGCTTAAACAACAGAAATTTATTTTCTCACAGTTCTGAAGGCTGGAAGTACAAGACCAAGGTGCTAGCAGGGTTGGTTCCTGGTGAGCTCTTTCCTCCTGGCTTGCAGATGGCTGTCTTCTCACTCTCTGTCCTCGCATGGGTTTTGTAGGTGCGGGCATACTCCTGATATCTCTCCTTATAAAGACACCAGTCCTTCTGGGTTAGAGCCCCACACTTATAACCTTATTTAACCTTAATACTCTCCTTAAAGGCCCTATCTCCAAATATAGACATATTGAGGGCTAAGGCTTCAACATATGCATTTTGGGGGGACACAATTGAGTCTATACCATATATTTTCCTGTTGAAGGACACTAGGGTTGTTCCCAGGTTTTTGATTTTATATTCAATGCTTCTCTGAATATTCTTATATGTGTCTCTCAGGACTCATGAGCAAGAGATTCTCTAAATCACATAAATAGAAATGATTTCTGAATCTGAGCATGCAAACTGGCACCAAAGTATTTCCCAACATGGTTGTATCAAGATTTACTCCCACCAGAAGTGGCTAGGTATTCCCGAGGATCCATATCCTTACAGCCCATAGTTATTATCAAACACCTTAATTTTTACCGATCTAGTGAGCAGAAATGTTATCTTATCACGGACTTTAAGCATTACTTTTTTAATTATAAAGACTTTTGATCATTTTATTCACAATTTGTGTCCTATTTTCTGTAAAATTTCTATTTCATGCTATTCCCCATTTTTCTGTTGGTTTGTATCTTTTAAAAATCTATCTATTCACAGACATTTTATGTGCATTTTAGATACAAAATCTTTGTTGATTATACATGCTGCAAATACATTCTTGTAACTTATATCTTGTCATTTCACTTACTTTTGAAAGACCAAAGGTCTACATTATAAGGCAGTCTACANATACATGCTGCAAATACATTCTTGTAACTTATAACTTGTCATTTCACTTAGTTTTGAAAGACCAAAGGTCTACATTATAAGGCAGTCTACTTCATCAATTTTTCCTCTAAGTTTAGTATTTTTGTGTCTTGTTCAAGATTCTTCTCTGCCCAAAGATTATAAAGATATTTTCTATTTATTACTGTGTCCCCTAAGCCCTTTATTTCAACCCCTCTATAAAAAATAAATAAAATAAAAAACCTTGGTTTTCAACTTTACAAAATCCTTCACTAACTTATATCTTAAATGTTTTAAATAAAGCACATAAATTGGCAATTTGGATCAGAACAAATTTAGTGAGAGAGGAATACAGGGATACTAGTTCAGGAAACATGCCCAAGAGGGTTCATTAATATTTTGTTCCTGGACCAGCATTTCCAGGGGAGGCCATTTCATCTGAGAAGATAAGTCCCTCTGCAGACAGTGTTAGAATAGAGCAGAGGAGGTAGGGTCATGGGATAGGAGACAGAGCAACCTCCCCCAGGACAGGTTTCTGGCTCACTGTTGGCCCCAGGGACAGGAGGCCAGGCATGACAGGGTCTCCCTTAGGCGGCTCTTTGAGTATGTACTTCCTCCAGATTCCTGCTGCTTCCATCTTTGCTCCCAGACCCTAGCAACAGTAAATGAACATCTGAGCATCTAGACCTAAGAACTCAGCCTGACAACTGCTCCAAAGCTGGATGGGCCCTTTACCTGGGAAACTGTATGACAGGAGCGGTTTCTCTTAATTCTCCACAGGTGTGAGNTATAACCTTATTTAACCTTAATACTCTCCTTAAAGGCCCTATCTCCAAATATAGACATATTGAGGGCTAAGGCTTCAACATATGCATTTTGGGGGGACACAATTGAGTCTATACCATATATTTTCCTGTTGAAGGACACTAGGGTTGTTCCCAGGTTTTTGATTTTATATTCAATGCTTCTCTGAATATTCTTATATGTGTCTCTCAGGACTCATGAGCAAGAGATTCTCTAAATCACATAAATAGAAATGATTTCTGAATCTGAGCATGCAAACTGGCACCAAAGTATTTCCCAACATGGTTGTATCAAGATTTACTCCCACCAGAAGTGGCTAGGTATTCCCGAGGATCCATATCCTTACAGCCCATAGTTATTATCAAACACCTTAATTTTTACCGATCTAGTGAGCAGAAATGTTATCTTATCACGGACTTTAAGCATTACTTTTTTAATTATAAAGACTTTTGATCATTTTATTCACAATTTGTGTCCTATTTTCTGTAAAATTTCTATTTCATGCTATTCCCCATTTTTCTGTTGGTTTGTATCTTTTAAAAATCTATCTATTCACAGACATTTTATGTGCATTTTAGATACAAAATCTTTGTTGATTATACATGCTGCAAATACATTCTTGTAACTTATAACTTGTCATTTCACTTAGTTTTGAAAGACCAAAGGTCTACATTATAAGGCAGTCTACTTCATCAATTTTTCCTCTAAGTTTAGTATTTTTGTGTCTTGTTCAAGATTCTTCTCTGCCCAAAGATTATAAAGATATTTTCTATTTATTACTGTGTCCCCTAAGCCCTTTATTTCAACCCCTCTATAAAAAATAAATAAAATAAAAAACCTTGGTTTTCAACTTTACAAAATCCTTCACTAACTTATATCTTAAATGTTTTAAATAAAGCACATAAATTGGCAATTTGGATCAGAACAAATTTAGTGAGAGAGGAATACAGGGATACTAGTTCAGGAAACATGCCCAAGAGGGTTCATTAATATTTTGTTCCTGGACCAGCATTTCCAGGGGAGGCCATTTCATCTGAGAAGATAAGTCCCTCTGCAGACAGTGTTAGAATAGAGCAGAGGAGGTAGGGTCATGGGATAGGAGACAGAGCAACCTCCCCCAGGACAGGTTTCTGGCTCACTGTTGGCCCCAGGGACAGGAGGCCAGGCATGACAGGGTCTCCCTTAGGCGGCTCTTTGAGTATGTACTTCCTCCAGATTCCTGCTGCTTCCATCTTTGCTCCCAGACCCTAGCAACAGTAAATGAACATCTGAGCATCTAGACCTAAGAACTCAGCCTGACAACTGCTCCAAAGCTGGATGGGCTCTTTACCTGGGAAACTGTATGACAGGAGCGGTTTCTCTTAATTCTCCACAGGTGTGAGAGCACGAAAGCCATCTTCTTGCTCCATAGAAACTGCTCAAGGACTGGACTTGCTCTCTTTCTGTGTCTACTGCATCACTCGAGAAGACCTGCAAGGGAAGAGAAGGCACAGAAGGGCCCTGAGACCTATTTTGGTCAGACTCCTCAGACTCCTAACCCAACTTAGCAAAAATTAAACCAATTGAGTGCTGCTAGAAGATTGTTATCTTCCCCATTTCTATGGGAACATTCGTGATGTCAAAACAATTCCAGGGCAATCTGCATGGTCAGATAGCTGGGCTTCTCACCATCTGTGGTAAGAACACTGATTCTCATTCAGGGAAGTGTGCAGCCTGTAGGAATGTTGAGTTGAAAAAGAAAATCCAAAAACTAAGCTACTCTGTCTTCCATCTTCGCTAGTGCTTTGGGGTCTATAGTCCTTCCCAATGACCTCTCTTCTTGGATTCCTAAACATGAAGAGGAATCAATGAAGATGATGAGTCTATGCTACATGCCAGGTTTGGGTATCAGTTTCCTGACAAAGTATTAGTACCTGTCTTTAGACACCATGGGCTTTGCTGGCCTCTGATAAGGTGTGTTTGCACCTATCTGCTAATATATGCCTCCAAAGGTCCATCTAAGAGCAGATGATATGCCTGTCATATGCAACTAATACCTTTTTACCATTAAAATCCTGTGGACTCAAAAGAGGCCAATAGAAAGCAGCAAAATATCAAAATACACACATACTCTTTTGTTACCTATATCTTTCACCATTTTTTTCAAACATAACACTCTGATCTTCTTGGGCAGGGTCTCATCCATTATCATATTTCTGAGTTCTCCCAGGCCCCATTTGATCATAACCTGTTTTTAAAAAGCACCTATGTTTGCATTGATTCTAAAGGAGTAACTCTAAAGGCAACAGCAACTTAAACACACCATCCCCTAGTTTCAGACAGTTTTGAATTCTCTCTCAGTCAAGAGAGGTGACTAAAGTGGACACATGCTAGCTCTATAGCCTTGAGTAATGAAAACAAATAGACACAAATTATATGAGAAAAGAAAAGGAAGTGCTTTATTGATACCTATTTTTGTACCTGTTTCAGAATTTCATCTTCATAGCAGGTCTAGGCAGAACACAACTGGGTATTTAAATCATTAGTCTAACATTAAGAGATAGGTCCAAGAATCATCAAAGGCATGGGTGCCAGAATATTGCTTTCTATTAAGAGAGAGATGGATTAATCTTTCTGGAAAGATACATATTCATGTTTGATGACTAAATAGTATTTTTATATAGTGATCTCTTAATGTTTGGCTATTGCTGTGATACCTGTTTTTTACTTAGATGGTTCTTTATCAAGATGCAACTAAAAGAGTCAGAAACTGAGAGATCAAGAGGTAAAGTCAGTTACCAGTGGGAAAGGTATCATCTCATTGGATTCATGTTGGTCATCTCAGGGGCCTTTGATGTTAAAAAACTAAGGGACCATTTTTGCAAAATTTCACCAAGAATCCATTTGGTTCTAGGCAACTGAAGAAACAGCACAGAATGGAGCACTGGAACTCCACCCTGGGAAGTGGCTTCATATTGCTGGGGATTCTGAAGGACAGTGGGTCTCCTGGGCTGCTCTGCGCCACAATCACAGTTCTGTACATGTTGGCTCTGACCAGCAATGGCCTGCTGCTCCTGGTCATCACAATGGATGTCCAGCTCCACGTGCCCATGTACCTCCTGCTTGGGCAACTCTCACTCATGGACCTCCTCTTCACGTCTGTTGTCACCCCCAAGGCCCTCATGGATTTTCTTCCCAGTGAAAACACCATTTCCTTTGGGGGTTGTGCCCTTCAGATGTTTCTAGCACTGACTCTGGGTGCTGCAGAGGACCTCCTACTGGCCTTCATGGCCTATGACAGGTATGTGGCCATTTGTCATCCTCTGAACTACATGGTCCTCATGAATATGAGGGTCTGCTGGCTCATGGTGGCCACATCCTGGACCTTGGCATCCCTGAGTGCCCTTGTATATACTATGTATACCATGCACTATCCATTCTGCAAAGGTCGGATCATCAGGCACCTGCTTTGTGAGATCCTACCTCTGCTGAAGTTGGCCTGTGCAGATACTTCCAGATATGAGCTCATGGTGTATGTGATGGGTGTGACCTTCCTGATACCCCCTCTTATTGCTATCCTTGCCTCTTACATACTAATCCTATTTACTGTGCTCCACATGCCCTCAAATGAGGGGAGGCAGAAAGCCCTAGTCACCTGTTCTTCCCACCTGACTGTGGTTGGGATGTTCTATGGAGCTGCCACATTCATGTATGTCCTGCCCAATTCCCTTCACAGCCCCAAGCAGGACAACATCATCTCTGTTTTCTACACTATTGTCACTCCAGCCCTGAACCCCCTCATCTACAGCCTGAGGAATAAGGAGGTCATGGGGGCCTTGAGGAGGGTCCTGGGAAAATACCTGGTGCGGACGCAACCCACCTTCTAGGGAGGGATCATGACTTGATTCCGAAATTTATTCCTCCTCAAGCTCAGAAGATTTTTGCTGGAGTCAAATACTCCTGAGAGAAACACCACAGGCCAGAGTATAACTTGACTTGTCAAATGCTCTTTTAAATCTTCTTTCCATGAGGCTACTAATAAGGTATGAGCCACATCCTATTAAAATTTTACTCTGTATTTTCCCAGTTAGCTAGCTTTGCCAACTGGGACATGACATCTAACCTTGGGAGTCCAAACAGACCAACATTAGAGCCAAAGAAAAGAAAATTTTAAGCAGAGGCCTAAGGAAGACCCATACATCAGAGGAGAGAGCCTTGAGATTTTCACAAACTTTAGACCAACTGACCTTGTTAAAGATCAGGTAGGCAGCCTGGTTTAATGCCCAAACTAGTAGTAGTTGCATGTATCTGCTTCATTGTTCACTCCTCTTTTTTCCAAACATCAGCCTTTATGGAAACTTCCCCACCTGCACACTCCAACACATGTTTTTTGTTTGTCTTTTAGTTTGTTTTTCACATGGAGGCTTTTTAATACTACTTTAAATTAAAAAATTACTGAAATGAATAAAATAGAAAGTTAAGGCAGCTCATCAGCAAGGTCCATGGTAATAAAAAAAAAATGCTTATTCCTTGGCAATAAAAAAAAACAAACAGACACAAACTGGGCTTCCGTTATCTTAAGATTGTCTTGAAATGTCCTTATAATTGCAAAGGTTTCATATGCTTGATATGTGTGGATCTGTGAGTCTGTGTGTTTGTGCTAAAAAAGGAGGAGTCAACATATAAATTTATTTCCTAGTAGCTTAAATATGCCGTGCTACTCTCAGTTGTTTATAAATCTGGAAATATTTAAACAAAAGCTGTGAGTAGTTTTGAAGCTTCAAAATAACATGACTCATCTGAGTGACAATATTTCTGAGAACATTGCATTTTTTGCAAACTTGTTAATGCTTTTCTTTTTTCAATAATAAAATATCATTCTATCTTTTTTAAAAAATATGTTTTTATTGATTTCAGAGAGAGGAAAGGAGAGGGAGAGAGAGAGATAGAAACATCAATGATGAGAGAGAGTCATTGATCAGCTGCCTCCTGCACACCCCACGCTGGGGATTGAGCCCAAAATCCAAGCATGTTCCCTGACCAGGAATCGAACCGTGACCTCCTGGTTCATGAGTTGATGTTCAGTCACTGAGCCACACTGGCCAGGCCATCATTCTACCTTTAACATTAATAGAAGTTCTTTTTAAAATATTAATAACATTAAGAATACTAGAGGTAGGCAAAAACCAGCTAAAATCTCCTTACCCGGAGATAATCTCTACACATATTTAGATACATTTCCTTCCATTATTAATGTAGGGGTGCATTTTACTGAGTTGATTTGGGCATGTAGATTAATTTTCCCTTACTAATATATGGTGATTCTCCCCCCTATATTATATGGCAGCAGCACAGAGCAGTGGCGAAGAACCTGGGGTCAGCTGTGAGAGTACGAAGCTTTGTATTCAATACTCCCCCACTTTCTTATACAGCAGTCCCTCCACCCCCTATCTGCAGTTTTGCTTTCTGTGGTTTGTTACCCAGAGTTAATCATGGTCTGAAAATATTAAACGAAAAATCCCAGGGATGACTAATAAATTTTAAACTGCAATATGTAAGTGTACTTAACCCACCACATCTTTCCCATGTTAAATTTAACAAGTAAATAGTCTTTACTATTTTATTAGGTTTAACATTTAAATCCATTGTTTTAATTAGCATAATCAATTTATTTAAATGGTCCTTATTGAGTTGGTGGAGTTCTTTACAAAGTAGGAATATCAATACTTTGTTATATTTATGGTAATAACTTTTTTCCAAATTTATTTTTTATTTGACTTTTTAGTATCTCCATGGTAAGGATGTTTTAGACAGAAAAGTATTAAAAATATTTGTGCTGTGAAATCTATCCATTTTACCTTTATTGTTTTCTTTCAGTGATTTTATTGTTAGGATGTAATTTTCTGCTCTACCTTTTGATAATAATTTATATATTTTACTTTTCTTAATCATTTTACAATTCACATTTAATTTTTATAATAAATTTCTCATTTATCTTGATATGGTGAGGTTTTAACTTTATTTTCAAAGTTGTCCTATTGATATTTTAAATGTCAATTTGGTATTGATTGGTATTCTAAAATGGATTGATTTTGATATCGGTATTTTAAAAGAACCCTTCCCTTTTCTGTTAATTTCTTCTATTTCTTTCATCACATATTATGTTCTCATAAATATAGTGTTAAGCTACATTTTTTGGTTATTCAGTTCTAGCTTCTTTCTCTTTATGAAGATATTTGATTCTATTATCTACTTCATAAAACTCACTGGTAATTTGATTGTGAATATATTCAACTAATAAATTAATTTATAAGTTGGGCATTTTTTTTCAATACTCAGTCATGCCTCCCAGGACACGATACACAACTGCACTACTTGAACCCAGTCTCACTTCCTTTCTTAAGATGACTCTTTCGCACCTTTAGTCTCAGCTGATGACCTTACTGCATCCTTCACTTGGAGTAGAAAGTAAAGTAAGGGGTGAGAAGGGGAAGGAAGGGAGATAAGACATGCAGCCTCTGGCCTTCATTTCTTCAAACCTCCCCTCTATGTACCTGCACATTCATGCCCTGCTTTCCCCCTTTACAACTGTCCATCAAAGGCTGACCCCTCCACTAGAACTCTGGATCCTAATCTCACTCACTTACCAAAGATTTTGCTCCTGCAGAATCCCTTTAATCTGAAATCATTTTCTTTGTTTCACCTGGATCATTGACATAAGGATACAAATATACTCATGTTATCCCATCGTAAAGACAGTTACTGACCCATTGTTTTGGCTTCTCTTCAAAGAAAAAAATCTCAAAAGACATGTCTATGCCCACTTTCCCCTCTGCTGATTTTCTAGTCACATTTTAACCTACTCCCAACCAAGCTCTGATCTCTTTCCATAGATGTGTTCTTTGTCAAACTCATCATTGATGTTCCAAATAAAGTGGCCATTTCTGTATTTTTTTTCTTTAACCTTTTAGTGATATTGACACAGTTGACACTTCCTTTCTCTTGAAACTTTTAGCTTCCAGATTCCACACACTGTTGGTTTTCTTCCTTCCTACTTTAACTCGCTCCACCTTATTGGGTCTCCTTCTCTTTCTGAATTTGGAAGTTCCCCATGGTACTAATATGGGTCTCTCTTTCTTCACACTCAGTAATCTCTTCCTGAGTAATTTCACCTAGTTGTGTAGGTTTAAATACCGTCTACATGCTTTTAACTCTCAAAGACCTGCCTACTTCCATAAACCACAGACTCATATATCTTACTGCCTTCTTATTGGAATTAAGTCTAATTGGAATTTTAAGTTTAACCCAAAGCATAAATCTTGCTTCACTCTCTTGCTAATCTGTTCTTCTGTCATTCTCTTCTGGCCAAATCAATCACATCACCATCCACGCAATTGATAAAACTAAAATAAATCTAAACATTGTTTTTTCTTTATGCCTTACTGCATCAACAAGTAAATCCTGTTGGCTTCATCTATATAATGAATGACAAATATGTGCACTTCTCTTGGTTTCCCCCGCAGGTATTAACCCAAGTCTCCATAATCTTTTGCCTATTACTCTATAATAACTTCTTAATAAGCCTTTCTCTTTCCATGCTTCCCCACTATAATAAGTTTCTCCCTAGTATACAGATTGGTTTTTATAAATATAAATCATATCATGTCACCTTTCAACAAGGATGCACATGATCTGGTCTCTGCCTGCCTTTCAGTCCATATTTGAAACTGTGCCCCCTTACATTCCTCCAGTCCAACCCCAATGACCTTCTTGCTGTCCATCAGACAGTCCCAAACTCTTCTCGCTGGACTGTGATGTTCTTCTGTCAAATCTGCTTGGCTTACTACGTCTCATCATTCAGATGCCATCTTAAAAATCTTAACTTCTCAAAGAGGTACCAATTTTAGTGGCATGCACCCAAACCAAAAGGCATTGCCACACATTGTGTTTATTTTCTTCATTGCACTTATCATTATGTGAAACTTTCTTATTTATACCTTAGTTTACTTGCTTACTCTCTGCACCTTCCAAAATGTAAACTCCATGAGAGCATGGACTATGTTATGTGTGTGCCACAGCTTCTTCTCCATAAAATTTAGTTATAGATATACCACAATCTATATGATAACAAGGTGGAGAGGTATGTGTATGTTAGTGCATGTGTATAGCACTGAAGAAATAGAGGAATATGCTGTTTCTAAATGAGAAGATTTAATATTTTTTATGTAAATATGTTAAATATTTTGCTGAACAATCTGTAAATTCAAAGTAATAACCATCATAATTGTACTGGCATTTTAAAAATCGGACTTGCTGCCCAGCTGGGTGTGGCTCAGCGGCTGAGCATTGATCTAGGATCCAGGAGATCAGGGGGTTGCAGGAGGCAGCCGATCAATGATGACTCTCTTATCATTTATGTTTCTATCTCTCCCTCTCCTTCTCCCTTCCTCTCTCTGAAATCAATAAAGATATATTTTTTTAAAAATTAAAAAATAAAAGTGGACTTGCCAAGCTGAAAGGTAGAAAGCATATGAGCTATCAAGTAAATTGTGAAACAGAAGAAAATAAAAGTTATTTCCTACCAGCTAAAGCTACAGTAATTGAAATACAGCAAAACAAGTGCTGTAATTGACAAATATACCTATATGTATGTTGAAATTGAATATGTATTAGATTAGCATTTGAAATTAATAGAAAAAGAATAGCTACCATGGTATTAGAACAAATAGCTAAATGTTTAGGGGGAAAAAGTATCATACTAACTTACATATATAAATTCTCCAAAAGTAAATTCCAGATATTTCAAAGATCGAATGGTTAAAAACAAAGTCCTAACATCAGGCTGCCCACTCTGGATTCATGTCCCTCTTGTTTCCCAGTATTTATGGGGGGCCATATGGTTGAGTTTCACTAAACAGAATGTGAGCAGATGTGATGTTTGTGGATGCACAAGGCTGCCACTCCATCTCTCAGTTAAAATTTATGTAAGTGAAACACAAACATCTACCTGTTAAGCCACTAGATTTGAGATTTATCTGTTAGAGCAGGGGTCAGCAAACATGTCCCTAGGGCCATGTTTTGTTTACAAATGAAGTTTTATTGGAACACTTCCATTTTTGTATTGTCTGTGACTATTTTCCCATCACAATGAGAGAGTTGAGTAGTTGCGATGGAGACAGTATGGCCACTAAGCCTAAACTATTTATTATCTGGCCCTTTAAAGAAAAAGTTTGCTGATCCTTATGCTACAGCAACTAGCATTACCTTATATAAAGGAAAACAAGAACTAGAACTAGAACTAGAAAATAACATAGGAGAACATTCATTACGTTAGGGGTGAGGAGAGCCTCTCAGTAAAAAGAAAACTCTATGTACCTCTCCCCGCTTGGTCTCTGCCTTCCTGCCTCTTACCCCCACCCCACCTTTACCTGGTTGGCTCTATCATTCTTTGATTTTCAAGGTAGAGGTTCCCTTCCTTAGGAATGCATTCTGTATTTCTAAAAGTCTTTCACTGTCATTCCATTATTATGCTGTAATAATCTTTGCAAAGGTCAAAAATGACTGAATTGACAAATTCAATAGCCTTTTATCAAGATGTAAAACTTTGAGACCTTTGAGAAATCTTTCCTGGAAGACTTCTCCTTTCACCAGTTCTGACACACCTTTATTCAGTTCTGTTTGTCTGATGCTTGCTGCCCTGGGCTTCATTGGCTACTCTTCATCCACTTTGAAATGCTGGTAACTCCAAGGTTCTGTCTTGGATTCTTTCCCACTACCTTTCTCCAACATCTCATCCAGGATTGCACATCAGAATGACTTTGGGGTATTTTTACAAAATATATATATTGCCTCCATTTTTGCCACCCTTATGGTCTGCAATAGGATCAGGCACTTGCATTGTAGTAGAACTCTTTCAAGATTGCAATTCATGCACTTGGTTTCCTGGATAAAAATGTTGGCACACATCCTTAGGCATGCCAGACTTCACTTGCATTTATTGCAGTAAACTTCTAAATCTATTTCTCCAGCCCATATCTCTCTCCTAAACTCCAGCTTTATTCATTTATTCAAAGTGACATTTCTTGAACTACAGCAGTGGCTGGCACTTTCCTACAAGTGGTAATAGAGAGGTTAACAAAGCAGTCACAGTCTTGACTGCCATGGAATTACAGTCTAATGGAGAAGCCAGACATTAAGCAAGTAATTACACATTTCGCTTATATAAAAGCCATTCAATTGCCTAAAAAGGAGTATAAAAATTTTAGTGTGCTTAAAAATCATCTGGGTCTTGTTACAAATGTAGGTTCCTGAGATCTACTGCCCTACCGCATCTTGTATTGAGAAATATTTTCAGCAAAGTAACCAGGAATCATTTCAAGTCATAGGCAAAACTATAGTCTACATCATAAATGCTTTACAGTGGATAAAACAGTGTCCCATCCCTTCTTTCCTTACTTTTTTCCTCATTTTCTGTCACTGTCCCATAAACTCCTCAATTGTCAGCATTTTCAGAATTACATGCTGGGCAAATTCGTTAGAATTGAATTCAAAGCATTTCTCAATCTAGACTCTTTGACTTACTTTTCAGCTTTATTTTTTCAAGTTTTTATAATTTCTTATTTTTCAATTATAGTTGACATACTTATATTAGTTTTAGGTGTACAACCCATTGAAAGGTTGGGTGGGCCTGCAAGTTGGATGGGGTGGGGTCTCAGTCACCAGGGTGATGCAAACAGTGTTAAGTTGATGGACACTGTTATGGCCCCCCCTGTGCCTGCAGGGGTGGTCTCAGCAAAAGAACAGTGGTTTCTGCCAGCCCTTCTGTCTGGGAGAAAGCTGCCCCCTTCAGCCCTTGTTCTGATGCCAGATAATTCAGCTCCTTTCTGTACGACCCTGGTGTCTTTTGAGCTGCTGCCCCAGTGCTGGAGCTCAGAGTGCATGAGTCTGAGTAAGGCCGTGCAAAGGCCCTTGAAGTGGAACACCTGGGACTCTGGCAGCATGTGTCTCACTCGGCCACAATCTCGCTGGCTCTCACAGCCAGAAGTTATGAAGACTTCTCTTGCAGGTGCTGGAACCCTGGGCTGGGGGTCCTGCTATAGGGCTGGGACCACTTGTTCCTCAGGGGGTATCTTGGCTCTTGAAATATCCTTCTCAGTTTTTAGCCACCACATGTGGGTGTTTGAGCAGCCTGGGCTGCAACCCCACCCCTCCTATCAGTCTCCACGTGGCCTTCTTCTTTATTTTTTTAGTTACAAGACTTCATGCAGTCTTCAGTGATGGTTGTTCTGTACTTCAGTTGTAATTTTGAAGTGGTTGTGGGAGGATCTGAGTACCACATTTACCTACACCGCCATATTGACTGGACCCTTTTCAGTGTATATTTCACAATTTTCCTAATGTTACACACACTCTTAGAACGATTCTACCGTTTGTTATTTCGTAAATGTGTTCTCTTTTAAATGTCAGAAATTGTTAAATTTAGAATTTAAGGCTATGTTAGAGATATAACACCATGAAGACTTTACTTTTTATGTTCATATCCCCAGTTTCTAGAAATATACCTCAGATACATAATAAGCATTCAAAACAGGTTTAATGAGTTCACGCAAGAATGAAGGAAATCACTCCATTTGCCAGAAATGCATTATTATATTTGTGATAGTTTTATTTATTTATTTGGTTCTTTATTTATTTGGTTATACATACATACATATATATATGTATATATATAGTTGTATGTCTACTTGTTTTAATTTCCTTATTAGCTTGCATGGGCTTGGAGAGTAGTGACTCTTTACTTACCTGCCCTTCCTTCCTTCCTTCCTTCCTTCCTTCCTTCCTTCCTTCCCCCCTCTTTCTCTCCCTCTCCCCCCCCACTCTTTTCTTTCCTTTGTATTTCTCTGCTGTCTATCAAGGTGCCTTGCTTTAAACAGGCCATTTGTTGAATTTATCTGAGAAGAGATAGGAGAAGAAAGAAAAAAAAGAAAGAAAGAAGGAAAGAAGGAAGGAAGGAAAGAAAGAGAGAAAGAGAGAAAGAGAGAAAGAGAGAAAGAGAGAAAGAAAAAGAAAGAAAGAAAGAAAGAAAGAAAGAAAGAAAGAAAGAAAGAAAGAAAGAAAGAAAGAAAGAAAGAAAGAAAGAAAGAAAGAAAGAAGGAAGGAAGGGGAGGGATGGAATGTAGTGGGGAAAGTTTACAAGAAAATCACTTTTCTCCGCATTTCTAAAATTGTTATCATAATCAGAGAGGCCCACCTTCAAAAAGACTATCTTGCAGCCACCCTCCTGAGGGCCCCTTTGACATCCTTGTTCCTCAGACTGTAAATGATGGGGTTCAGCAGGGGAGTCACTGCTGAGTAGAACACAGAGATCACTTTATCTCTTTCATTCATTACCTTGGCGTTTGGCCGCATGTAGGCGAATATTGCGGAGCCATAGAAGAGGACGACAACAATGAGATGGGAGCCGCAGGTGGAGAAAGCCCTGTGCCTCCCCTCCCCGGACTGCATCTGGATCACCGTGGACACAATGCGCCAGTAGGACACCAGGATCAGGGAGACGGGTGCCAGGAGGATGACCACACCCATTGCGAAGATGGCCATTTCTGTGCCGTAGGTGTCTGCCGAAGCCAGCTTCAGGAGTGCAGGAGGCTCACAAAAAAAATGGTTAATGACATCGTTCCCTCGGTAGGGCAGGCGCAACGTGAATGTGGTGTCCACCAGAGACACAAATGCGCCACTGGCCCAGGCCCCTGTGGCCAGCCTGACGCACACCCAGTGTGTCATGGTGGCGGAGTAGTGCAGGGGCTTGCAGACAGCCACGTAGCGGTCATAGGACATCACCGCCAGCAGAGCGCACTCTGTGCAGCCAACCAGGAGCAAAACAAGGATCTGTGTCGAGCACCCGGCAAAGGAAATGGTTTTCCTCCTTGCCAGGAAGTGCACTAGCGCCTGGGGGACCGTGGTCGTGGAAAAACAGAGGTCCGCAAAAGACAAGTTTCTAAGGAAAAAGTACATGGGCGTGTGGAGTGTGGAGTCCATGTGAGTGAGCACAACGATTAGCAGGTTTCCCAGCACAGTCAGCAGGTAGATGGTCAGAAAAAGGAAGAAGAGCAGGACTTGTGTCTGCGGATCCTGTGAAAGGCCCAGGAAGACAAATTCAGTCACATAGGTTTGGTTTTCTTCTCCCATGAATATTTATATTACTGTTTATAGGCAGCACCAAGAAAAGAAACATATATCAGTCAGTTATTTTTTAAAAATCTGAGTAACTTAGGTAGGTTATTAAACAGTATGTAAAACTGGGCTATTGATTTTCATTCTTAACAGCTTCCATGTATCAGAGACAGAGTTCTCTTTTTGCTCAGTAGTTCTGACAATTGAAAGACATTTCTCGTTTTCACTCTTTTAAAAATTTTTTTTGGCACCAGCGAGGCAGAAATTATCCTGAATATGCTACATGACCAGACCTTGGCTGGACTAAGTATAGTCCCGAGAAGACAATAGTGTTGTTCCACAGTGCATCCTTCCTTTCGTGTAGGTTTAAGAGGCAAACAGGTTGATGTTGCTTTAAGCCAGTTAGATTTTTATGCTGCAAAGTGTCTGATAACATTTATGAAGGCTGATTTTTTCCATCATATTTACAAAACACTCCTAACGAATGGGAATTTAAAAGATGTAGTAGTCTGTGTTCTTGGTCTTAAATTCTTCTGTCATTTGTTTTCAATGTGAAGAGAGTGCTGAGAAACATCAATAAAAATAGCTGTTTTCATTGGTCCTTGAATTTAGCAGCATCTTTTAAATATGCCCTCATCTGTCCTTCACACTTTAATATCTCTTTGTACAAGGCCCTTAGCACTAGTTATCATGTATTGGCACTCTCCTGGTGCCAATCATTATTAATAGCTTTGTTTACATTCTTTACTTTTTATTTTAAATCCTCTTTAAGTTTCTGTGAGGTAGTTATTATCCCCAGGATACAGACGATGTTAACAAAGACTCAGAGGAATTTTCAAACTGGTTCCTCTAAGCCTTCCTCACTTGTTCTGTACCCTGCAGTTCTTTGTCTGTCTTACTCAAGCGCTGCTCTAGAGGAGCGTTTCACCCAGTTCTCTCTGCCTGTTCCCCACACCCACTGCTTGAAGCCAGGCCCACAGACATTCTCCCTTCTAAGGGTTTTAGAGCTCATCTGCTATGGCAGAGCTCTCTGTAGGCACAAAAAGAACACTCAGCCATATTTTAACAGATATTTTAAACATTTTTGAGGGGTCTTGTCCACATGATAATAGAAAGAATTAAAGGAACAAATATTAAGAAAAGCGATAAAGATTATTTGAAGATAATCTGATTATATGTCTTTTTAAAAAAATATATCTTTATTGATTTCAGAGAGAGGAAAGGAGAGGGAGAGAGAGATAGAAACATCAATGATGAGAGAGAATCATCCATCAGCTGCCTCCTGCACGCCCCTGACTGGGGATCGAGCCCGCAGCCCAGGCATGTGCCCTGACCAGGAATCGAACCCCGATCGCCTGGATCCTGGGTTGACACTCAACCACTGAGCCACGCCCGGCTGGGCTGATTGTATATCTTTTAAAAAAGAGCCAGTTCAAACTTATGATAACTGGTAAGAAATGTGATCTGGTACAAGATGAAGTAAGTGAGCATTCTTGTATTATATATACATACCAAAAATAACCAAGTAAAAATTTTAGTAAAAAAATTCTTTGCAATGGTTAAACTTAAAGTGTATATTTAAGAAGCATTCAAGATCTATTTGAAGAAAACTATGAAATATGATGTCTGAGTAAACGAATAGACACACTGATTTTATAAATAGAACACCACAGCTTTACAAAGACATCCTTTTCATTGGAATTAATCCATAAATTTGCTGAAATTCTGACCAAGTTCACAGAGGATTTTTTTGTAGGGAATTTAATAAGCTTATTCTAAATTTATCTAGATGAGTAATTTTAGGATAGAAAGTGATATACAGAAAAGAAAGATAAGGTCATAAAAGAAATATATCCTACCAGATATAAAATATATAGTATGTTTTCCCTCCATTGTTGATATAGTGTATGCTGAGCAGGCATAAAACAGTTGGCCAATAAATATATTATAGAACTAAAACAGATTCTAGTTTGTATGAAAATTTAATATATTACAATGGNTGAGCAGGCATAAAACAGTTGGCCAATAAATATATTATAGAACTAAAACATTCTAGTTTGTATGAAAATTTAATATATTACAATGATAGCATCTTAAATAAATGTATTACTTTACAAAAAGTATGGGACAATTGCTTATTCACTTTAGAACATATGTTGTGCATATATATTTATACATATATTTATACTACATTTATATTTAAGCATATTTGTACATACATATAATATAAGCAATAACTAATTCCAAATGAATTAATGATCTAGAAGTAACTGCAAGATTAGGAAAATAGTCGTTAAGGACAAAGCGTAGTAACACATGGCTGCTGTGTTTGAGGAAAATGCTTATTCTCACATTTTTACCCTTTGCAGCCTTTTGCTCTTTGTTCATTCTTTGGTACTAGAACTGTGTCACTAGCCAAATTCAATGTGAAGTCCAAATGTGATAGGAGATACATTGTCTTTTAAATATGTGATTAAATATTTGTCTCCCTGGACTGAGTTCCTTCTTCAAGGCAGTAAATTTCAGACTCTCTCACTTATCTATATTATCTGTCTTATATCAGTATCACCTGATACATGGAAGGGGTTTTAAAGTGAGTTGAATAAATAGACTAATGCCAACACTTCACATCAACACATTTACTCTCTCAAGAGGAATGTAAATGAGAAGAAGAGAGTAGTCTGTTGGCTGTTGAGACATGAATTCTGATCTGAGGTTGGGAGGATCTTGGCTTTAAAAATCCCAGGATTGATCACCAAGTTAAAGGGAATGAATGAACTATCAGCGACATCCAAATGAAGAAGGGTGAGTTCAGTGTGGTGGGGGCCAAGATACCAGGATCTGAGTATGCCTGCACACCCAGATTAACATACTCAGCCTTGTGTGGCCATCCAGGGAAGTCTGACCACAAGAAGACCCTGTCTGTGACCCCCAGGGCAGAAAGGTCAGGCTTTTCCACTCCTGCTTACTCCCAGTGTCCAAACCCAAGAGGCTACAAGGAACGAGAAAGGAATCCCTGAATGGAGAGCATTGAGACAGCAAGGGGCAGAAGAATCTGGCAGATTCGTTTTTAGTGCAGAAGAAGAGGCAGGAGGTGTCCACGGCCCTTCAGTCACTCTAGTATCCCTGATGAATAGCTTAAGCCTCTCCAGAGGAGTTGTGGAACAGGATTCATGAGGCTATTACTCAGGAGAAGCAGCAAAAAAGAAGAGTACATATTCTCTGTAAAAGCCAAATGGGAAAGAGAAGGAAAGGCAAAGCCCACCCCAATGAACAAAATCAAGATTTCAGGCTCTCTAAAAGCATTAATTCCCCCTAATCATCTTACCCACTCTCACCTGGAGGACTGGCAGGAGGCAAACACAGGACTGTGGGGTCAGTGATGAAGAGACAAGTTAATGGATGAAGGAAGGTGTGATTTCTGCAGTCTCCTTACTCATATCCTAATAGGCAAACTCTACTGCAGTTTACTAAATAGACTGAAGGATGGGGCATCATCTAGGCTGAGTCTTAGTCAGCTCCTTAAGTCAAGGAGCACCATTTTATTAAAAGCCCCAATTCACCAAGGAACCAGGCTGGAGGATTTTCCTGGAAAACCTTTAAACCTGAGGTCCGCCCTAAGAGCCGTTGTAAACAGCAGGGCATTCCCTGGAGCAATCAGTGCTGTTAACTTTTTCAAACGTTTCTACAATGAGAGATACCTTGGGGCATTTTTTTTTTATTGCAATTACAAATTAAAATACCTGAATTTTATCAGATGTCAGATACTACACCACTGTTTCTCAAACCAGTCTCAGGACCTTTGGGGTTTCTACTCTTAAAATTTTTAAAATAGTGTTTTCAATAATATGATAATACAAACGGCAGTTGACATCAGTATATTCTGCACTGTCTGGGTGAAGCCGAGGGATTTCAGAACCCTTGTCTGCAATTGTACTTAAAATGCTTTAATTGCCAATGGGGAAAATCAAACAAAACAAGAGGTATATGGTGCTGTTTAAGATGCCCTGGCTGTTTAAATGTGGGCTTTATTGTAGTTAATCAAATACTAAAATGCTGTGTGAACTAAGGGCCACATGAAAAAGTCCCAAAGAGAATTCTTGATTTCCTCACCAAAGTCTCCCCATTTTGAATCTCTCCCATTATCCACAGAATTACTCAGGTCAAAGACTTAGCAGGAATATTTCATTTCTCTCTTTTTTCATCATGTGCATGCTATCTACCCACATGTCTTACCATCTTCTCTGCTTCTCCACTTCTAGGGCCTAGTTAAGACCGTCATCCCTCCCCTGGGATACTGCAATAGAGCTCAGTCCTTCTGATTGTTTTTCTTGCTTCCATGCTTTTCTACCTACAATCCATTCTCCATATGACACTCAAAGTGACCTTTTAAAAGTATAATATCAGGATGGCTTCTATCGAACATAAAATAAAACCAATCGCCTTTTCAGGATTTCCAAAGCTACAGCCTTGGATTGACTTGTATCATCCAAAAAATGTGCCCACTTGGAACCTCAGAATGTGGCCTAATTTGGAACAAAGGTCTGTGAAGATGTAATTAAGGGAAATCTCAGGACAAGGTCATCCTTGATGAGGGTGGACCCTAAACCCAGTGACAGATGTCCTTTTAAGAAGAGGGGAAGACAAAGAGACAGAGGAAAGAGGGCATTGTGAAGAAAGAGGCAGAGATTGCACTTAATGCTGCCACAAGCCAAGAAATGTCCAGAGCACAAATACTGGAAGGTGCAAGGAAGGCTCCTCTCCCAGGGCCTTCTGAGGGAGCATAGTCTGCAGATACCTTGATTTTAAATATTTGGCCTCTAGGGGTGGAATGCGTTATTGGGAAGAAAAGGGGACATCTGTAATATTTTAAACAAAAATTAAATAAATAAATAAATAAATAAATAAATAAATAAATAAATAAATAAATAATAAAAATAAATGTTTGGCCTCTAGAACTATGAATTCCTGTTGTTTTAAGACACAAAGTTTGTGACAATTTGTTATGGCAGCCC